CAACACTTTGTGGATCTTCGCTGGGATTTCCCACCCCTTTTGCAGAAAGCCAGTAGGAACTGTGGGACAAATGTGGGGAGACACATTGTAGGTTTCCTTTTTCTTATCCTTGGGATTTCTTCATACCGAATTCCTTTAAGCAGTACTTGAATCTATAGTCACCTTGTAATCCCATTTCACTGTTTGTGGCCCTGACCTGCAGCTCCTGTTGTGCCCAGGTGTGTGACCCCACCAGGAGCAGGAGCAGGCTGGCTCTGTCACCAGTGCTGGAACTGTGTTCTGTCACAGCCTTCCATGACCACCCAGACCCTGGTACTTCCTTTGACTTGTAGCACCTTCATTTGTGGACTTATTTTTCTTGAAGACACCCTCTAAAGTTTTTCCCCCAAGGCACTCTCAGAATCAGTTGTGAACAGCTGGAGGAAGAAAAACATACCTGCAAAGCATAATAAAAATCAGGAAAGGTGTGCAGAAATGTTTCAGAGATTGAAGAAGCTCTGGGAGATTCTGGAAGGGCATTGGGTCATTTTGTGAGGTCGGGAGAGTCAAGGTGGAGCTCAGAGGATTTTCTCTTTATGCCTCCAGTTATGACAAGCAGGACTGGCTCTGTCACATGGTCATTGGGGATTTTTTGCTCAGAATTTGCATTCCAGCAGCTCAGTGTGTGTGGTGCAGGGCAGCCTGCAAGCATGCTGGTTTGAGCTCGGGGCAGGCACCTGGGACTCTGTTCCTCCCCTCTCTGTGCATCCTTTTGGTCCCTAGTGCATGCCAGGCACCTGGGACTCTGTTCCTCCCCTTCCTGTGCATCCTTTTGGTCCCAAGTGCATGTCTAGCTCTGTCCCAAGGGCTGGTGTTGCTCCCTGTGTGGCCTGGGCCGTGCAGACCCTCCCCACACCAGGCAGCTGTCCTGTGAGCCTCTTTCCCAGCTAAGGAGCATGATGCCACCTCTCTGGTGTCGCTGTAGGCAGCTTCAGATCTGTTTACAATGCCAGTGCTGCTTAAAGGAAGAACTATATATGGTGTGTGTTTAATGGGAGTTCCTAAGGAAAGTCTGTCCAAAATTGTTTTGTCTTTAAAAGAGGTGTATCTGCAGCTTTAAGTAAGTGGTAAATACATTATTACTGCTCAGATGTTAGAGTGAAAGAACTGATTTATTACTTTAATTAGTGTGCAGTGTACTTTCCATTACTGTAATATGTAATATTGAAATGCTGAACTGAAATAGGTGTGTGTGTGCATTCTGTTCAGCACAGCAATTTAATGATTCACTTGACAAAATCTCTAATAACACATGAACTGTGAATAGCACTTGACATGCCAGTTGTAACTGAAAACTTTCAGCAGTTCATGAGGGTGCTGGGTGAGGGGGGACAGGCAGTGGGGAGCCAAGCCTTGGGGTACTCCGTATCAGCTTAACTGCTAGAGGGTTTTAATATTTGAACAAAACATTTGCTGTTGACACAGTAAAACTTGCCCTTCTGATTCTGCACTCGTAGGAATGGAGGAGTGCAGTCAGGAACACTTTCACCCTTCCATGCAGCCTTGGCCCCAGGGTGATGCTGCAGCACAGCAGGATTATGGTTGGAGGTGTTTCTGCCCCTCAGACCTGCCCCATCCTGCTCTGCAGGGACAGACCTGGTGAATGCAGAGGGCTTTCCTGGCAGCTCAGCATCAGAACAGCAAGGGCAGGGAAATGCAGGCTGCAGAGGTTCCTCAGCTGTCCTGCTCCTTTCCCTGCCCGACGTGCCCAGAGGCTCCCACCGTGCAGAGAGCTGTGCCAGGACATACAGATGTGAGCTTGTCCACTCTGCCCTTTCTCACCAGGAGTTAAGATAGCCCAGCTCCTAATTTTTGAGCCTGTGACCACATGGACTGGTGGACAGAGCTCCTGGGAGACCCTCCCCTGGCAAACAGCCTGCTGAGCTGGGGCTGTGGGACCAGAGCTGCTCCCTAGCACAGAGGGGTTTAATGTGCTTTAAAAAGTGAGATGCACTGACCTTTGCATCAGCTGGTTAAGGTCTGGGTTTTGCTGTTTCTTACACTACAGTGTGGCTCAGCTCTGTTAAGAACATTTCATCCTATGTGACTTTGGCTCTTATGTGGGAAAGCCCTGACATAAAGCCATGGAATCACATTTTACTCCCATTTTGCAAACATTGCTTTTCTGTCTTACCAATTTTTCCTTTTTTTTTTTTTTTGTGTGCACTTATGTACTTTCTTTTAGTCCCAGATGAATTGTTTTTAAAGGAACCGAATCCTCTTTTGCCTTAACAAAAAGGCATGGATTAAACATGGGATGGGGCAGGGGTAACCTGAACTAACTCCATGTGCTGCCTACAGGAAAGAAGAACTGGGTATGAGGAGCAAATGTGGTACAGGGAGACTCTCACTACCCATTTTCCTGACTGGCAGCAGGCTCATACATGCCAAAACCTAACCAGACGAAAATGGAAAGCAGATTCTACCCCTGAGTGAATGTGTCAGTAGTGATCCAGGGCAGGGCAGGGAGTGTGGTAGGAGGAGTGGAGATACACACTGAGTTATTGGCTTACAAGTTCTGTCTGGGAACCCTCATTGCATGACTGGTGCTTTGTCTGCCGGGTGCAGTTCTGGATTTGACACTTGGTTATGCTCATTTGTTTGTACAAGAGCTGTCAGAAGTCCAGATTGTGCTCCAATATTGATTTCTGAGTTGAACCAAAAGGCTGTAGCAGAAACAGCCAGGGAAGGTGATCGCGGCCGGTCAGGAGAACAGGGTGGAACACACCACACAAACCACTGCTGGGGAGCATGAATTAATAAGGAGGCTTGAGATGATTTCTGCATCATTGGTGTTTGTGTCTGCTCACTGCTTCACTGTGGTTTGCTTCCCTCAGCCCCTTGCTGCTGTGCTGTGCTCTCTGCTGGGCTCACTCTGTGCTCTGCAGCCCTTTCCAGGCAGAGGTTCCTCTGCACTGTCAGGGAACTGCAGCTTCTGCTGAGACAGATTTAATGGCCTCACCGTGCTAATGACTGCAATCAGGCAACCAAAACAAGCCCCGGTTAATAGGTAAATGAATATCCAGAGAAGACCATTAAAGGATCAGGAGGGAACTGAAGCTGCATCATGTCCTGAGCCCATTACGGTGGTGCTGATCTCAGTACTGGAGAGAGCTCGAAAGGAGTGTGCAGCAGGATGGAAGAAAATCCAAGCTTACAAAAAGCAATATTTTTATTGCATAATCTGACCGTTACCTCATTTCGGATCGGGAAATCTCAGTGATATTATTACAGAAGTTTAAAGCTCCTTCAAATGCCTCTGCAGTTTATCCCAGCTCCAATCTGAGCAAGCTTTTAGCAGATTTCATTCACTGTTCGCTTGTTGCTAGATTTTCAAGCTTCCTGTGTTTGCTTTTTGCCCTGGTCTGCCTCAGAAGCAGGTAGAAAGGACTGTATGTCCTAACTCATTTTCAAAGCATTCCTTTCTGAGTTCATTAGTGTGGCAAGTGAAGGGTGACTGAAACAATTTAGCATTTCATTTTAGGTTCTTAGACTGCATGAGCAGGCTGCTGGCAAAGCTGCTGCCTGGAGACTTCCATTCCCACAGTCCTTGTGCACAGGTTGGAGTGTGAGGGACATTCCACTGCTGCAGCTGAGGCTGGAGGGACCTCTCAGACCCCTCTCAGACCCCTCTCAGACCTCACAGACCCCTGGGCCACCCCAGCCCAGACAGGGTCAGACACATCTCCAGAGGGTGGAGGTTCCACAGCCTCCCTGTCCAACGAGTTCTGGTGTTCATCCACCCTCTCCATAGGGAAGTGATGGATGGAATGGAATTTCAGGTGTTTGCTTGTACCTGTTGTTTCTCATCCTGTCACTGAGCTCCTCTGTAAGAGTCTGGCTCTGTCCTCCTGCACACTCCTAATTTTCAGGTTATTTTCGTGGTATTTCTTTGCCTGCACTACACGAGACCTCATGGCATTGTTCAGTGCATTGCAAAGAACAAAGTACAACTGTTTTTCCAGCAAGAAGCAGAGCAAGCACAGCATCACGTTGAGAGCCTCAGACCATGGGGAGAGCTGCATCTCTGGCAGAACAGCTTCCACAAGCACAAACCAGAAGAGTTAATAGTCTGTGCACACAGCCAGTGAAATGCAGCAAAGGTGGAAAAAATTATAAGCATTTTAATATCTTAGTGTTAAAGCACTCACTGTAGAATAGGAAACAGCTGAAAAATGGATGCAGTGCTTGTTCCTTGGGGGAATGCAGAGCTCTGTTAGCACTTGACAAATCCATTACAAAAAGAGCTGGCAAGCCAACAAAAAGGAGACATCATTAATCCTGTTGAAACCAGCATGAAACAGATGAGCACACAACTGCCTGTGACAGCAGCGAGGTAAATCAGCCCCAGGCTGGCTGGGAATGCCCAGATGAGGCACTGCCCAGGGACAGGGGATGGTTCTCTTGTTCCACCAAGAGTCTGTCAGCAGGGTGGCAAGAAGGGATTGGTGGCATGCTGAGCCAGGTGGTCCCTGGCAGCACCAGGGTGGTTTGATGAGGGTGGCAGCCTCCAACGAGGGGTGCAGAGGAGCTGGGAACAGAGAGCAGTGGGAGGTCAGTGCAGGACACCACGGGCACAACCTCTGAGCAGGGGACAAGGAACCCAGAGCAGTTTGCTCTGTCTGTAAGCTGCCAGGAGGTGAAGGCCCTGGCCTGATTGGAAGCACAGCACTGTTGCACAAGTCCTGAAGGGCAATTTCAGATTGGAGTTACTGAGATGGTGTAAGCAATTTGGCCTAAAATCTTTTCAAAAGTGATTTTACTGCATGTTATTCCAGTGAGTTGTGAACTGCACACGAGCATGTGGAAAGGTGCTGCTTGCTCAATGGTTACATGTTGCTGGTAAGGTTATAAATCTGAGTTTGTAAATGGATTACAGAAGTTTCCTTGCCAGTCTCAGCTTGGCAGGACCACAGTGTTGCACAGTCTGCTGCACCACTGTCCCTTCTCCTTTCTTCCAGGTGCTACAGTGGAAAGCACAGCAGGAAGAAGCTGCTGAACTAGAAGCTGCTGTAGCTGCCAGAAGAAAAGAAAAGGAAGATGAGAAAGAAAGGCTACAGAGAGAACAGGCAACTCTTCGTAGAGCTCAGGAGAAAGAGAAAGTATGAGAAACTTTGATACATTTTGCATGTATTACTGTGTGCAATTGCTCCTAAAATCTTTAACTGATCTCATACCACTTGAGTTCTTGCGCAGTAACAAGTACTGATGTACAAGATACTGATACAAGAAAAAGGAAGATGAGAAAGAAAGGCTACAGAGAGAACAGGCAACTCTTCGTAGAGCTCAGGAGAAAGAGAAAGTATGAGAAACTTTGATACATTTTGCATGTATTACTGTGTGCAATTGCTCCTAAAATCTTTAACTGATCTCATACCACTTGAGTTCTTGCGCAGTAACAAGTACTGATGTACAAGATACTGATACAAGATACTGATGTACAGGATACTGATACAAGGTACTGATGTACAAGATACTGATACTGATGTACAAGATACTGTACAAGATATTGATGTATCTTGTAAAGTAACAAGTACTGATCCAGGAATGGGCAGATGGTTAGTGAAGTCTTGCCCCTACCTGTTTTGGCCCCAAAGCTGCTCTGATAGAGCAGTTATGTTCCTTCATTGTGTTCCTTACAAACAGAGTGCAGACAAGTCAGAGTGTGCCTGTGCCACAGCCAGCACAGAGGCACTGCTGGCAGTCTGACATGCACAGGTCTGTGTCTCCTGGCAGCGTGGCAGGCTGAGAGCTCCCAGGCTGCAGCTGAGTGTGCTGCAATGCAGCAGGAGCTGAGCACCCTGAGCTCGGTGCCTGGGGCTCTCCCTGGGTGCACAGCTCCCAGTGCAGCTGAACAGACACTCAGAAATCCACTGCAGTGAGTGCAAGGCTCGAGCAAATCAAGCTGTATCACACACACATTTGTCTTGGCCTGTTTGTTTAAATGACACAGCAAAAATCCAGGAGGTTGTTTCATTAGGATTTTACTGGTGAGTCCAGAGGTGCAGAGAGGGGCGTTTAGTGCTGGTTTTGCTGCTTAGTCACAAGCAGCTTTGCTGCTGCTTTGCTTTTTGTTCCAGCTCGTTCTGGGTATTTGCCTCTGCACACGCAGTGTTTGTGGTGGCTCTGAAACCACAGGGAAGGAAGAGGTTTGGGCTGTGCTGACCCAGCCACCAGCAGTACTCATTTTATCAGGGAATGTTGCATCCAAACCCCCTCATCTTTCCAGAGAAGCTTTCCCTGCTCAGGTTTCACAGCCTGCCTGGAGGCCTTTCTTTCTCCCTGGGCTTTGGAAAAACTCTGTACTCACATGAGGAACACTCATGTGCTTCCCCCTGTTCCTCAGCACGCACTGCCCTTGGCACAACGAGCTGGGCTGGGCTGGGCCCAGGCCTTGAGCTCACCCAGGGTGCTGGAACTCGAGGCACATCCACTCGGGTGAGCAGCACAGTTGGAGGTTTTGATGGCAGAGTGGGAAAGCAAGGTGCAAATGGAAGTGGTAGTGTTCAGACTGCAGTCCAAAATGGTGTTCAAATTAGTGCCCACAGGCTGATTTTACCACTTTTGTTGTGGAGGTTCCACACCCTGTTGCTCTCCCAGTAAATCTTCTGTTAGCCTCTAGTGCTCTAGAATAGAAAGTTTTTATTCTAGAAAGATCAACATTTGAATCTCTCAGTTAATGCTTTTCTTGCTCTCATTGTTCTCACTGCCTTGGCTTGGGCATGGGTGTTAATTTCTTTGCTGTATTTGTTCAAAATCTAGCTGAAAAAATACTGGGCTGAAAAACAGCTCAAGTGGCAAGAACAGGAGGAGAGAGATCTACAGCGTCTGGAGGAGCTGAGGAAATTAATGGCTGAACAAGCAGCTAAAGACAGAGAAAGGTAAAAGAAATTAAAGGTGAATACCTGTGGTATCAAGAGGAGCTGTTTATAATCTAAGTTGCTTTGATCTCTCACCTTTCTAAATTGGAATGAATTGAGATGTGTATTTTTTTCCACCTCTGGCAATTACCCTGGTCTGCACACTGAGGCTGCACTGTGATTGCATCCTGGATGCAATTCATTTGTTCATTTGAATTCATATCCATCAAGGTTTTAGGCCTCTGTGAGCACCAAACTGTTGCACTCATGACAGGGTGCACACATCAAACTCAGCTCCCTGGGTGATTTTTTAATTGAGGCTGTGTAATGAGACCTTCTGCATTCCCACTTTGCAGCATGATTTATAATCAGCTCTGGTTTCTCTGAGGGGCAAGTGAAAGATGTTTATTTTTAACTTCGAGAGTCCTGAACTGCACCTGTTTGCAGATGCTCTTCAGCAGTTTGCTGGGCCTTAGGAATCCCTGTGTCAGAGGAACATGAACTCCCTGCATGTGGGCTGCTTGCAACTGCTCTCAAGGCACAGACTGACTATTTATACATAGAGGGAGGCACCAGAAATGCAATTAAAATAGGGATAAAGTGCCGTTGGCATTAGAATATTAAACTTTGTATTAAGCATTCTGTGGGGAAAACTACTTCAGTCTTATTTTGCTAGGACATGCTAAGTGTTTGCAAACATATCTCTGCCTTTCCTTAAACATAGCTGCAGTGGGAAGAAACACACATTTGAATCGCTGAGTTTTCAGCAGAACTGATCAGGACAAGCTGACTGTTCCTCAAACCTGTGTACTGCTCTGTGCCACACTGCCAGGGTGTTCTTTCTTGTGCCAATAACTGCTGCAGAGTAAAATGCAAGGAAATGGCACAGTTCCTGGAGGGATGGGGAGGAAACAATCCAGGCTATTGTGAATCAGAGTCAGTGAATGCTCAGCATTGTGTTACCCAGGACTGACCTACTGCACAAAATAAAACAGCACGAAGGAAAATGTGCACTGTTTGTGGAGGTTAACAGTGCTTTCAAACGATTTAGTGCTTTCCATCTTCAAAGTCCTCAGGAAGATTAATCAAAGAAGGACAGAGAGGTGTTGCTGCTGTGAGGTGCCATGGGGCTGCAGGCGTGGTATGAGCTTCTCAAAGCCTGGACTGTACAGACCTGAGGGGCACAGGTGGCATCACTGTGCCCTGGCACAGCACCACAGTGCAGCAAAACAAAGTGTCCTGACAGGTTCCACCTGCTGCAGCACAGAAATTGGGTCTGAGGCTGTGCAGAACTGGCCATGAAAGGTGGCACAGGGCAGTGCCAGAGTTCTGAGCAGGCATGTCCTCAGGCTGATTTGGGAAAGCAGTAATGAGCTGGTGACTAGTCCAAGTACAAGAGATGCCTGGATAGTGCCACAGAGTCTGCTCTGATCCTGAATTCTTTTAAAATTCAGTTAAAATTAGGTAATCAGATTTGTAAAAGAGAAAATGATTATCACAGTCACCGTGGTGTTCTGTTTATTCAGCTCTCGCTTTGTAATTGCAATAGCCAGAGCTGTGACCAGACCACAGTAAGGGACTAAAGGCACCTGAAACTAGGTATGTAATTCCAAGTGACTGAGTCCAAACTTGCTTCCTACAACTCTGCTGACTGGCTGGCAGTGGGGACATTTAACTGATCAGGATTTCATGCCTGGCTGGGCAGTTCCTGGGGAGCTGCCGTGTGGTGTTGTGTTGTGTGGTGTCTGAGACCTGTTGTCCCCAGAGCAGCTGTGACCCTGCACATGCCTCAGCCCAGTGGCTGCAGCTCTGTGTAACTCACAGCAGTGTGACAATGTTGGGAGGGTGTTCCAGCTTAGGAACAGGGTGTACACTTGAGTGTGTATTTCCAAGGCTCTCTGCCTTCCCTGGGTGTGGAATTCATAGCTCTGCCACTGCCTGCTGACAATCAAACTTCATCTCTGTTAGTCCTGGCCGTGGTCTCTCCAGCAGGAGGAGGATGATGACCCTGGCTTTGTCCTGACAGTTGTGATAGGATTATTGACACAGAGGTCTTTGCCATCAATAGAACTGTAGGGTTAGCTCTGATTTCTGCAGCTTCTAGCACAAGTTATTCACTCCTGGGAGCTTACTAAAATTTAGAGAGTAAGGAAATAACCACACATGTTTTATTGTGGTTGAAGCAGCTCTTTCATCTCCATTCCTCTAAAGGCAAGTTCAGATTTGAAGGGCAAAAGAAGGACAATTGTCCAAGTGCAAAGCATGGCATTGGCAACTCCTGTACAAGGACTAAAGTGATGTACCAACAAGTCCCTAAGGAGCAGAGCCTGGCAGTGGCCTGAGGGTCACTAGGGAACAGCTGCTGGGGCTGTAAACATCTGTTGTGAGAGCAGGAGCAGTGCAAGAGTGTCGGGGCTAAAGCTCCAGAGTTATTGCTGCAAACCTCCAGCTCTTTCCTTTGCAAGAAGGGTGTAGCTCTCAAGATTTCTTGCTTCTTCCAGTAACCAGATTGGGAGTGAGGTGCTTCTTTTAATGGAAAGGGTTCTAGGAAAGATTTCTTCTGCCATACACAGATGTGAGAGAACATTTCTTCTTGGCAAAGAGAACGGGGGAAAAAAACCTCGGAGCACCAGGGCTATATAAAGCCTGCTCGAGAAAATCTGTGGTCTAGACACGAAAGCTGAAAGGTTAGCCAAGTTGTCTAAAAAAGCAAGCAAGCAACCGAAACCAAATCAAAAAATACAACTCCCCAGACTTCCCTCAAAGCCCCAAGCGAAAACCTCCAATAGAAAACCACATTCAAATGAAAAGGCACTCTTGCACTCCTCGGGGGTTTTGGTGAAGCCCTTGGCATGCCCAGGTGGGCACAGGGAGCTGCAGCAGGGTAGTTCTGGAGCTGCTGTTGTCTCTGTGCCTGGCAGGGTGCAGCTCCGGCGGGCACAGCTGGAGCAGAGGCTGATGGAGAGGTTGGCACGACGTGAGGCCCAGGAGCAGCAGCAGCAGGAGCAGGAGAGACGCCTGGACGCTCTGCGGCAGCAGGTGGGACATGGCATGGGCTGCCAGCAGGGAGAGGGGAGGGTGAGCTGTCCAAAGCAAACAGGGCAACGAGCTGAAATGCACCTTTGGCCTGGCCAGGAGTGATTCTGTGCTCACACCAACAAAATGCTGCTCACCAAGTACGTGCCTGGTCTGTGCGTGGGGAAGAAGAGATGTGAGTGTAGATGTGAGTGTACTCACCCAGCCTGTAGGTTCTGGCAAGCACAAAATGGTATTGTATTAGAGATGGGCAGAAAAATTACTGTACACCGTTCAAACAGCTTTTTCTGCTTTTAGCCAGAGAGGTCCTGGCTTTGATCATTTTGCTCATGCATCTTTCTGTCTTTTTCCAAAGTAGTATTAGCCTGTATCTGGATATTTTAACACAGAGAAAGTAACCGATGAGGAGAGATTGACTCTGGCACAATGCAGTGTCTGAGAGTCTTTGATACTGATCTAGCCACAGGAAATTGCACAGTTAAAGCAGATACACTTCAGAAGAAAGCCCAGAGTTGTGTTATTTGGGGCATATCACTCAATGTTGTTGCCCATGACCCTGTAAAAATTGTGAGCTACCAACCCGAACAGCTTTGTTTCCAGCAGAAGAAAAGGAAGAAAGTTTAGACTCGTGGTGGTGTAGAATCACGAGGCTGCTGGGTCCCTGTGGTGACTGGTTTTGGATGCTGGAGCCCATGTCAGTCTCTGCTGGAGAGCCAAGGGTGCTGCTGCTTCTCTCTCTCACATCCTGGCTGGGCCCAGGCCACCTCCACGGTCAGGACGCTGCGCTGCCACTGCACAGCAAAGGCAGTCACTGCTCATGTTCTCAGAGGATGTGCTGCTGCCCACAGCCTGCTCTCACCTCAGCCCTACACAGAGTAATTGTTGCTTTCATGTCCCGTGTTCTAGGTTGCTGTTGTTGCACAAGCAGATCCAGCCAGGGCAGTGTCTCATACGGTGGCATCGAGGGCACGGATGGGCATTGGAGCCAACCAAGAGTTTCAGCTCCAGCAGCCACTGTTCAGTCTGCACACCTACAGTGAGGAGCAGGTAACTGGCTGTAGCCACACTGTAGTTACTGTGTGCACCTGCAGCTGAATAGTGGTACAGGACAGAACAGCATATCCTGAACAGCAACATTAGCAGTAGAATATCGAATATCATGTGTGTGAGGTACAACCATTAGGAGCCACAGGTGGGGAAATCTCTCCGACCCAATGGAGGTGCTGAAAGAGCTCAAGAGAGGACCCCAAGGGTCTGTTCAGGTACAGCATCTCCCAGTGCCACCACTGGAGAGAGGAGACTGGGATAACTGGAGGGCTGGGCAGTTCCAGTGCTTGCTAGGTGTTTTGACATAGGAATGCAAACAGGTTTACAGGTTTTGTCAACTAGCCTTTGGACAATTTCAGAAGCGATTTCCCTGGATCGATTGTCATTCTGCCAAATGGAAGTGGCACTGCCATGCAGGCACAGGGTAGCACTAAGAGAAGTCACCAAGGTGTTTGAAGCACTTGGATTCCACAGGAACAGCCAGGAAGAGGTTGGAGTCCTGTGTGTGCACAGGGAACACGAGGGAAGGCAGCAGCTCCTCAGGGAGCAGCTGGATCAGAAGTCACTTGGTTTGTTGCCTGCACTCGGAGTTTTGCTGAGGAATGGCAACCAGGGCTCTTTGCTCCATGGTCACTCTGTGTGACTGGGCATTAATACTAAGAATGGATAACATTCTTAAGGATATAACATAACTAAGGATAACATCAGGGTATGGCAGTGAGATTGCTCGTTCACTGTGAAGTTTCTCTGTCGTGAATATTTTATGACCATAATTTTCTGACTGTCTTTGGAAGGTTTTGAGCACGTGCATGCACAGAGAGGCTGTAAGCTGCACGGTGTGCACGGGGCAGGTGTTGCCTGGTGTGCACTGATGGTCACTGTGGTTGTCTCACAGGTGATTTCTGACCCCAGGCTCCGCGTGGAGCTCGCCCTTCGGGAGATTGGGCTGCACAGAACACCCTATGCAAGGGAGATTCTGCCAAAGCTTCCTCCGCCAAAGCTTCCAAGAAGAGACATGGAATCCACAGTTTTTGAAGTGCAGAGCACCTCTCATCTGGGCAGCGAGGGAGCTGCAGGGCTCTGGTCTGGCTCACAATGTGCAAACCTTGGATAACTTCCCTTTGGTTGTGTCAGTGTGCTCAGTGCTCTGTGTGCTGCCACTCAGAACCACCTCAAGCCTTTCTGCTGCAGTGCTGCACCACATTCCACCTGCCTGGTGCAGGTTTGGGGAGGTTGGGGGTGTGGGCTGGTGCAGTGGAACTGCCCATATGCCTTTCTGCTGGGAGCTGGGACATCTGTAGGTAAAGACTCCTACAGACACCAAGGGCCAGTGGCATGTGCAGCACCTGGAGCAGGAGCTCTTGGGTTTTCCTTGGCAGTATAAATCCAAACCAGCTTTGCACAACACTTGCTTTAGATTGTGTTCTGTTACATGAATAAATCCCACCATTTTAATTCCAAGTTTCTTGAGATACTTTTAATTACAAAGTCTTCATTACCTTGTTTCTAATATTCCTCAATTATTACAAGAAGAAACGTAAACCTTTGTCTATATTTAGAAGCCAATTTGCTGCATCATATTTATTGCAAACCAGTCATGCAGTTTCATAGTGCAGATTAGTCTTTCAGTATGAATTATAAATCAGAAATAGAGTTGGGATCTTTATCTTGGAGCTGACAGTACTGAATATGATTCCATTAACTGAAAGGGAAATTGATGTTATTTCCTTTAGTAAATGATTATGTTTTCAAGCCTTGCATAAAGATAGCATAAAATGTATGTAAACAAGTTACAATTAGCAGTTTGACCAAAAGTTTCTAAGGATGATGAATATCAGAATGATCCAAACAACCCTAGTAGAGTCTCTAGGTAGTTATGGGAACTTCATTAGCATGACATTATTGCCTCACAAGTGTTGGTGGGTCACACACCTGCACCAAAGCCCTGCAGGCAGAGACAAACTACCTCGAGTTTTCACACCTCAAACTGAGAATGCCACTGGCAAAGAGCTCTGGGGTGAGCCTGAGCCCAGCCCCTGGGAGAGCTTGGCTCTGGCCTGGTGTTCAGGGCAGGATTTGGAAGCTGATGGAGACCCTAAGGTGGGTGCCAGAGGAGTGGGGAGCTGGTGTGACAGGCTCCAGGCAGCAAGCACAGGGTCAGGCCAGGGGCAGCACAATCCCAGGCTGCAGCTGAGCTCCTCACTGGGGCAGTGCTGCAGAGCCTGCCCTGAGCTGTGGGAGCTGTGTCTGCTGGGCTCAGCGTCTGCATGGTTGTGCTAAAATTACGGTTCTGTGTGTATTTGTGCTTGTTATTTTGGTATCTCCTTTGGGCTAACTCATTATTTTTAAACCACACTTGGCCAGGCTCACAACTGGCTGGGAGTTCCTGTTGGTAGACCAGCAGTGCTTAGCTGTGGAGAGCAGACTGGCTGTGAGATGCTTTGCAGGGAGGGATCATCCCAAACCCTTGGAGCCTGGTTTTTTTCTCTTGCCTTTAAAAGCAGATCTATGAGACAATTTTGGTGGTGCAACACCTTTTGAGATTATAGTTGTCATCTTTTATAGAGAAGGGCTCATGTTTAGCTGGCTGTGGACCAGCACCTCTAGGTCCTTTTTAGAAAAGCTGTTGATTTGCAGCTGTATGTGAAAGATGCAGGTCCATGGAACTGAGTCCAGGTTACCCCAGCACCGTGTGCTCCCCATCCTGCTCCCTTGGGAGGGTCTCTGTGTGCCCCATGCCCAAATCTGCTGACCCTGTGGCAGGGGGAAGCTGCTCCTGCTCAGCCAGGGGCAGTCTGTGCTGGGTGGGCTTCCCACTGGCCCATCTGTGACACCTTCGGCTGCTGTAGGACTGGAAAACTGACCAGTGACAGCAGTGAGTAATAATGGTCACAAATAGGCATTAATTTTGCATGTCCTTGACTTGAGTGTTTGCCTTTCTGCCAAAGCAAAGGGTTCTCGTGCTCTACAGGTCTACCAGGTTAAATCCCAGAAGTGCCAAGTGACTGAGGAAGAGGCACAAGAAGCTGTGTGGAATGGGAGCACTGGGGAAAGGAAACCTTCTGAGTCTGGGTTTGGTTTCTCTGCAGGGGCTGCCCTGGGTGGCAGCTGGAGCTGCCTCAGTGGTATTCCTGGGGTGGGCAGTGTTGGTGCTGGCTGGACAGCTGCCCCAGGCCTCTGGTGCTCCCCCAGCACAGCTCTGGGGATCAGCACAGGCAGGACCCGACGCTGTGCTCGGTGTGGGCACCCACCCCAGCCCTCTCCTACCCCCTCCAGTAGCTCTGGCTGTCCTGCTGTGTGCCCAGAGCTCCTCCTCTCACAGTGTGGGAAGGCCTTGAGGCAGGAAAAATGCTTACCTGTGGCTTGGCTAACCTGGGACAGCACTCCAGTTTATTGCTGTTCCTACTTTAATCCTCTCAAACGGCTTTTTGTTTAAATAAAACATGGCCTTGAGCAACACACAGATGGCCACATCTGCAAGCAGATCTAAAGGCTTATAAATAGGCCTCAGATTATTAATTCTTCATTTATTACATTTCATCTACTCTGCAATCAGCATTTCATTTCGCGAAGGAAATGGTTCCAGAGTACCCAAAGTTTATGTAAATCTCACAGGCAGCCTGACATTTTCCTGGTGTTTGGCAGTTCTGCAGTGACAATCCTGCTGTAGGGAACAGCTTGGTGACAAAGCCAGCACAGTGCCACCGAGGTCCTGCGAGTTCTGAGGGTGTCCCACATGTTGGGTGAGTCTGTTCCTGTCTCTGTAAGAACGTAAGGACTCGGGGTTGGTTTGGGGGGAAGGAAGGACAGACAAAGGCGGTTTTTACCTTCGTAGAAGTCGTAGGTGCACATGGTATGGCTGATGAGTGTGGGGAAGTCAGGACTCTCCCTGCTGCAGGTGAGGAGTTCCTCAGAGAGGTCCTTGTCCAGCTCCGTGCTCCTCACCACGTCATCCAGCACCAGCTGCTCAAAGGGGCTGGAAGGAGGACAGACCCAGCCTCCATCCCCACCGAGGTGGAAGGTGAGGCTAAGCCAGAGTTCACAGCACCTGTGTGTGACCTGCTGCCAAACTTCAGCACTGCAGGAAAAGCTCAGTCGATGTACACGTGCCTGTGGGGCTGTTCTTCTCAGTGAGCAAAGCAGATGTCAGAGAGTAATTGAAATTCATGCCGTAGCACAGATGTATGAGTGAAATGCACAGAATCAGCACAAGATGAGTGATGGTGGGAATGTGCTGAGTGACAGGTTTTAGCTGCTGCTGGCTGGCAGAGATCGTGCCCCCCCACCAGCTTGTGCAGGCGTGAGCAGCACCACTGCCCCAGACAGAGGCCACAGACTCGTTTGGGCTGGAAAAGCCCTCTGAGATCATCAAGTCCAACCATTCCCAGCATGGCCAAGATCACCACTGACCAGATCCCCAAGTGTCATATCCACAGAGCTGTTAAATCCCTCCGGGGATGGGGACTCTACCCCTGCCCTGGGCAGCTTTAGTGCCACAGGTCCCACCAGTGCAGAGGATTCAAGGCACTGGGACAGCCGGGAGGGTCTCAGAGCATAGCAGTGACTTCCAGGCCAGTATTTTCCATTTGAAAGGTGACACTCAGCTGTAGTGGATTCAAAGCCTTTGTGCACTCAGAGAACCTGCCAAGCCAGTCTCTAGAAGTTTGCTGAGTTTTAACCCTGAACTAAATACCACGTGTGATATTTGGAGACCTGGCAAAATGCTAAGCTCAGAGATGCATGACCTATTGCTGAGAATTTTTTTACACGATAGCTGTTTTGCTCTGGGGGAAGACCCTGAATCTCTTCCCTAAGCCTCCAGAGGTACCGATGCGTATAATAGTTATGTTCTGGCATTTTGCGTGGCGCAGCACTTTGATCAGCTCATGGAGCATGATGGAAATGGAAGGGATGCCCATCCCATGCTGTTGGAAGGAGAGAAAAGAGGAATATCAGTGCCTGTGAGGCTGTGGCAGGTACATGGCTGCAATGAGCTCAGGGTTATGCTGTGGCCTCTTCCTGTTGATGCCAACAGTGATTTTTTTTGAGGGTGAAGAGACATCTGAGGGTCTTGGGAGCCTGTCCAGGTGAAGTGTCTAACCCTCTTCCCTCTGCTGCTGCTCCCCAGGGCTGGCAGATGTTTCGTGGATCTGGAGCTGCCCTGCACTCCCTCACTTGGTCGCCTGTTTTCTGCTCCATCTCTAGACTGATGCCCTTTCCTCAGCTTTAACCTTTAAGAACGGTGCTTGGTGCTGTGAGGTTTGGTTTTTCCCTGGAAAATGCCTCCTATATTTTTGGCTTTGCTGTGATGTTGAAAAACCTGAAGGAAGCACGTGTGGAGGCTCTGCTAATGAACGCACACAGCTGGGTTTGTGCTGCTGTGTCTCCTTTCACTTGGCTGTGACTGATGCTGTTCTCCTTGTATCATGTTTTAAATATGAAACCTTTCTGCACGTTGTTATTCTGGAACATCATCCTGGCTGATTTGCCAGTGCCTGAAAAATTTATTCTCATTGTAAATATTCAGAGCAGGATCCGTGCTCTGCCCCCGTATGTTTGAGCAGTTGTGTTTCTAAGCAACTGGCAGAGCGGCGATGTTGGCAGCTGCTCTCAGGCTGTGTGCTCTGCCCCGTGCCCCTCGCAGGGGTGGCCGAGGGCTCTGCACTGGGCAGAGCTGTGCATGGCCAGGAGCCCAGTGAGGCTTTGCTTCTGGCTGTGTCACCACTGCTGCCAGGCCGGGAACAGCAAACCTTGGGGCGGCTCTTCCCCTCGGACCTGCTCGGATTGATTTCCTCAAGCTTTTCCATCAGTCAGGATCGGTTTGGTTTTGTCAGAGGGACCAAATATGAGCTCTGTTGTGTGAGTGACTCCATCTCCTATGAATCACGTTTCAGACTAATCTTGTGCCTGGAGAACTGGCGGCAGGACTGAGGCTCCAGGTGTGAGCACAGCCTCTGAGAGCCTTTCCTTGTGTGCAGTGCCAAAAATCCTGCTCTGAAAGAATAATTAATACCAGGGCAAGGTTTTATTTTAGAGCTTGTGTCAGTGTGATACTCCCAGCAACGTTTCATAGTTCATGCGTGGTGGGAAGTGATCTTTGCTCTCCAACTGCCAGACCCGAGCTAAGCGCACGCCTGAGCTCAGTAATGCAGCACCTCCCAAACGGTGCCCAGGAATGGGATGCAAAAGAAAGTCAAAAATAATTCAGTAAATTTAAGCTGTTAGGATCCTCACTGACAGCAAAGCAAACCCAGATGTTGGAGAAGCTCCTCGGTTAATTTATTCTATCAACAGTGCCGACTGCAATTAGCGAGCTCTGCTGATGGCACAGAGGCCATAAAGTCAGGGAGGAAAAAGGACAAATTTTACATATTAAAGGGAAAAATGCTCCCTGAAGGTATGAGGAGATGGAGTGTGCGGCTGTAAGGGCAGCACCGCTGATCCCACTGCCAGGGAGCAGGGCAGGGGCAGCCCGTGTGTGTTGGGGGTGTGTGCTAGGGCTGTGCTAGGGCTGTGTCAGAGCTGTGCTGGGTCTGTGCTGGGTCTGTGCTGGGTCTGTGCTGGGTCTGTGCCAGGGCCGTGCCAGGCTGCTCCCGCCCCGGGCACTGCAGCTCTTCCCCCGCACCGCTGGGGAAAGGCTCCGGTTTGAAATGGAAGAGGATGCTGTCGTGACAAGCTGCTTTTGACAGCAGGTCTCAGCCAAAAATACGACATCCTCCTTCCCTTGTCTCCTGTAGATGATGATCAGATGCTTTGGACAAATGCCTCCTCCGTCTGTCCTCCAACATGGTTTTATGGAGCTACAGGTTTTTAAAAGGATAATTTTCTATTGGGATTTCTGCCCAAAACAAGCAAGGACAGACAGCCACCTTGCCCAGTCTGCCCCAAATTGCTGAGTCCTTTTGCTGAGCAGCCAGACCCATCCCTGGTGGGAGCACTGGCAGCAGCAGAGCCCTGGCATGGGTCAGCAGAGCCGTGGGCTGTGGGGCTGGGAGCCTGCAGGGGTCAGGGAGCTGCTGCCTTGCTCATGCACCTGCTCTTTACCTTCATGTCCCCAGACATTGCTGGCAGGTTGTGTGTCTTTGTTCCCAAGTCCAAGTGTTACAGAACATCCTCCTCCACCGAGTCCAGGTGTGGGTTTTTAACATGGACAAGCTCACTGCTGCTGGGAGACAGGGAGGAGATGGGTTGGGGTGCTGGGCACTGCCCACAGGGATGGGGATGGGCAGGATGGGGCCTGGGGGGCCCCGGGAGCCCACACACAGCCCTGGAGTCAGGGGAGGGATGGGACAGGGACAAGCCAACGCTGTGTAGTGCCTGGGGCAGCTACCTTTCTTCTCTGGGTCACCTCTTTGACACCTCTGTTATTTTATCTGTGCTTTTGGCAAAAAACCCTCTTTCTTGGTATTTACCAGTCTTGTAAATAGCAACCTTAGCTCTTTCCTCCACAGAGTTCTGCCAGTAATATCCAGGCGTGCTGTGCTATTCTGTATGTGACAGCATATTAAGCTCTTAGCAAATCAGGATTTCACACTTGTATTGTCCCAAATAACTGCCTGGCAGGATGGTTGTGAGTTAAATCCAGGCTCTGCAGGCAGCCAGAGGCCGGTTTGCCGTCCCTTCCCACCCGCGGGAAGAGATGGGAAGCAACTAGCTAACAATGCCAGTTGGTTTTATAAATAAGGCTTAAACAAAACCCAGAGAACATTCTTCTTGTCTTATTAAAACAAATTCAAATGTTCTCCTGTTACTCACCCCAAGTAACCTGTTGTTTCAGTCATAGCAGCTCTACCAGAGTCAGCTGAAAGTGAACCCCTGCAGAAAAGGTAAGAAAAACACTCTCTGTGTCTTCAGCTGTTGGAGTTCAGAGCTCAGAAGAGGTTTCAAAGGTTCTGCATGGGGTTAAATACCTCCCAAGATCAACAGTGGCTGGTGCCCTCCGCCCGCTCCCCATGGCCCCTCAGGTGCTGAGGTTCCTCCCAGACTGGCTGTTCGGGCAGGTGTGTCACCAATAGCCTCTGGGCAGTGTGGATGCACATGTGGGCACTGGGCAGTGTGGATGCACATCTGGGCAGTGTGGATGCACATCTGGGCAGTGTGGATGCACACCTGAAACACCCCTGTGTTTGTCTGGGATGCACAGAGTTCGGGCTGTAGTCAATGTCCAGCCCTGCTCAGAACAGCTCCCGGAGCCCCCAGCCTGGCCTGGGCACTCAGCAATGCCCAGACAGTGCTGTTTGCTCTCACTGTCTGCACCAGCCCAGGAGCTGTGGGAGGAGTGCGTGATGCCCCTTCAGGAGAGGGAGGAGACTGGACATACTGGTCCTGCTGCCTGTCCCAAAGACAGCAGATATTGCCCTGGAAGATATTTCAGGCAGCATCTGGAGGGGTAAATTCTGGCATTTGCTTTGGCCTCTGGGAATGGTAGATGGAAGGTCTGGTTAATTAGATAAGTGCTAGGTAATTAATGACTGTGGCGATCTGACCCAATAAATGCGTCTGATTTCAGTGCAGGTTTTGTCAGCTGGTGCCTGTGAGCTGGTGCCAGCTCAGATCACTCGTGTGATTGACGAGGTGGCTGTCACTGGTTGTGACAAAGCACATCGTGTGGGGCATCCAGGGGGTAACACGGTGCTGCTGCACCAGTGGGGCAGGGAAACAAACTGCTCTAACCGAGACAATGGGCAGTGACCAGCAAATGCCCCTCCAAACCCCTTAAATTGCAAAACCCCATATAAAAGCAAAGAAACATTGCCAAACAGTGGCCTGGGAACTTGTAAACTGGGTAACTTGCCCAAGACAGGGTGAGGATGGCTCTGAGGAGGGGAGGGAGCAGAGCCCTGAGGGATATTTCAGGCTTGCTGGAGTCATACCAAAGGCAGGCTGGAAGGATTTCTCTGCTCTGATGAAGCTCTCCCTCCCTGGATGCTGTTCACATATGCCTGCCAAAGATGACTTATTACTGATGCTCCACAGCACTCCTGAAGAATAAGGATCTGGAGACTCTTCTCCCCTTCAGAGAGCACCAGATTGCACCAAGAGGGGCAGAGAAGTTTCCTCGGGGCTGCACACACCTTCCTCCTGCTGAGGTCACTTGGTGCAATTACTGTTTCCTGCATAAAGCTCCACGTTTCAGGCACACAGTGGTTCATGCTGTGGCTGCCACACAGAGCTTTACAGTCGTGCCCAACGAGCATTACCTGACTTGGGAACGCAAGCGGAAGGTTTGCTGCCGTTTGCCAGCAGCGGCAGGGAATGCTCTGCGGGAGGTGAGACCAGGCTGAGGCTTCCTGCAGGTTCTCCTCCTTCTCTGGGCTTGTTTGGTGGAGGAACATGAGGTTCTCCTGCTCTCTGCAGACTTTCCCTGCACCCTGCCTGGGGCAAAGGGGCAGATTTTGGAGGGTGGCCTTGCTGAGTGAGCAGGGACAGAATCCCCTGGAGCCACAGCTCTGGAATGGCAGGCTGAGAACTGGTGGGTAAGCAATGTTCTTGCAGTGTTTGTCCCTGCTGCACCCAAGGCAGAAGGAACAAGTGTGTTCTGTTTAAGTAAACACGATTGCACCAAGGGAAATGGTTGGATTGTGCTTTTGGCTTCCCAGAACCGATGTTGGAGAGAAGGGACAGCAGGTTTTGTTGTCTGCCTTGGTGCAGGTCAGGTCCCTGCCTGGCCAGCAGGAAGAGTCCCTCACGTTTGGTTCCCTCCTTGGTGATTATTTTTCTCATGGTTGTTCTCCTTTGGGGTGGCTTTCAGTATATCCTAAAGTGTAGCTGTTCTACCTCCTGCTCGCCATGGCAGAGGCTGCAGGGATGGAATGGAATGGGATGGAATGGAATGATAGCAAAAAATAGAAGAATAGATTAGAATAATGGAGTAGGACAGGATAGAATACCAAAATAAGATACTGTCAGTTAAAAAAGGGACCTGCAGTGCTGATCCAGCCCAGCTGCCTGTTCCCCTTCTGCGAGGCAGGGTGGGACGGTAGGGATGGTGAGAAGCAGAGAGCACTGCCCCAAGTGAGTGTTTGTTTGTGTCTGATTCAGAGCTAAATCCAGCCCTCTCCGAGTGCCAGGCAGCGGAGCTGTGAGCATATGTGCTAGGGGATGACAAATAAAGCACGATGAAGTATGTGGCAGGGTACCATATGGCAGGGTAGACAGGCTCTCGGCAAGGGAAGCGCCGGGGAGA